CTTCTAAGCTGTTGGTTTTCAGAAATTAAAATCTCATTATACTGATATGATATAATTTTCTCATTCTCAGCTAAGCTGCTGCAGACGATGATAAAGTAATGCAGAAAAAATGATTTGGTTAAAAAGAAAACTTTTATCGACTCTAAAATACGACTCATTGCTGCAGGGACCAAGATCAATCTGCTCCACGGGCTTGTAAACAACGCCGGCTTCCCTCGACAATCCCATTTTTGCATGAAAAAAAATGGGGTCGGTGGTGGTTGCTAGGGCAAACTCAGCTAGACAGATTCAAGTCAACAACGTTTAGTCTGTACAATTTATATATATATAATTGGATTCTTGTCTTATATATGATTGGAATTTTCTAATGAAGATAGTGCATGCGACATGTAATAAATTCAATAATTTATTTAATGAATTTATGGAGAGGGTGGGAATTGCCATGAAAATGAGCAATTGGCCAATGGCAGCCCCATGCAGAATCTGTTTTTCAAGTTAAAGCTCCTTAAAACCAGATTGAAATCTCTTAATCAACACTATTATAGTGACATTTCAGCCCGAGTAAAACAGAAGAAATTGGAATTGGAAACTCAACAACTTTTATCACTAAGAGCTGAAGATTCCTTCCATAAAGAGCTTCTTTTGCAAAATGAATTGAAAAACTTAGAAGAGGCTGAAAATATTTTCTTAAGGCAAAAGGCTAAAGTCCAATGGCTTAAAGATGGTGACAAGTGTACAAAGTTCTTTCATTCGGCAGTTTCTACTAAATCCAAGAGGGAAACAATCAGAGTTCTTATCGATGACAATGGAAACAGACTCGAAACCTATGATACAATGGCTTCCGAATTGATTGAGTATTTCACAAACATGATCGGAACTGAAAATCCAGAAATTAAAGTTTGTGACCAGAATTTACTTCAGGAACTCCTTCAGTACTCTCTCCCTTCTAATTCTTCCAATGCTCTTATGAAAGATGTAACTAGAGATGAGATTAAGGAAGCGTTTTTTTCTCAAGGTAATGAAAAAGCTCCAGGACCATATGGCTACACTCCTTACTTCTTTAAATGTACATGGCCTATTATTGAAGAAGATGTGATTGCTGCGATTACTCATTTTTTCAAAGATTCTTATATGCTGCCTGCTTTCAATTCGACCTCTATCACTTTGGTTCCTAAAGTCCAAAATCCTTGTAAAGTTAAAGATTTCAGGCCTATATCTTGTTGTTCAGTAGTTTACAAAGTTGTTACTAAAATCTTGGTTAAAAGACTCACTCTTTTACTCCCTGATATCGTCTCTCTCAACCAATCTGCTTTTGTAAAAGGACGGAACATTGTTGATAACACTCTTCTGGCCCAGGAGCTTGTTAAAGGATATGGTAGGAAATCTATCTCTCCTAGGTGCTCATTGAAAATTGACATCCACAAGGCTTTCGACTCTCTGCATTGGGGATTTGTATTGACTGTTCTTAAAGCTATTGGTCTTCCTACTACTTTCATCAAGTGGGTAGAAGCTTGTTTCACTGGAGCTCGTTATTCCATCTCGTTTAATGGAAGTCTCGTAGGATATTTCAAAGGAGCCAAAGGATTACGACAAGGTGATCCAATCTCACCTTTACTGTTCGTTCTGTCAATGAACGTCTTATCACACATCCTCAACAAGGCTGCTCTTCGAGGTATTTTTGGCTTTCATCCTAGATGCAAAAAAATTGGTTTAACACACCTCACTTTTGCTGATGACCTGCTTATTTTTTGTAAGGCAAATGTTGAATCAGTTGTGGGAATTATTTGTGTTTTGGAACAATTTTATGTCATTTCTGGCCTTAAAATCAATGCGCAGAAATGTGAATTCTACACGGCTGGAATATCACCTACACAAATTGATGAAATCAAGCGAATTACAGGGTTCAATCAAGGTTATCTACCTGTTAGATACTTTGGGAGTTCCTCTAGTTACTAGGAAACTCTCGGACAAGGATTGTATTGCTCTTATTGATAATATCAGGGAACGCCTTCATCAATGGTCACGAAGACACTTGAGCTACGCTGGTAGATTAGAGCTTATAAAAACTGTTCTGTTAAGCATCACAAATTTCTGGTGTAGGCAGTTATTCCTACCCCAATCTGTTCTAAACAGAATTGAGCAGCTTGTTCACGTTTCTTTTGGAAAGGTTCGGACAAGGCAGCTTTGGGAGATAGAGTGAGCTGGAAAAAACTATGTCTTCTTAAATCAGAAGGGGGTTTAGGACTTAAAGATATAAAATCATGGAACAAAGCTTGTATGATGCATTTAATTCGGAAGGTGCTTGCGGGTGAAGGTTCTTTATGGATAGCCTGGATTAATAGTTATATCATTAAAAATTCTGATTTCTGGGACATGGAAATTGGTCTTAATATGAGCTGGAGCTTCCGAAGCTTGCTTAAAATGAGGCATCAAGCTTCGACTATTTTGTCCATGGGAGCTGCTACTATAAAAGATATTTGGCTTCAAATCAGACACAGGGAGGAGAAAATAAAATGGCACAAGTTAATATGGTTCCCACTCCATATCCCAAAATTTAGCATTATTACTTGGATGGCTTTGTTAAATAGACTTCCAACTAAAGATAGATTGGTTGGAATGGGATTTGAAATTGATAATACATGTGTGCTTTGCAATGTCTCTTTGGAATCTAGGGATCACTTATTTCTCCATTGTCCTTTGTCTAGCTCACTGTGGGATGCGATTTTGCACCTAAATGGCATTAGAAGAAGACCTTGCTCTTGGGAAGAACACATATCTTGGGCATGTACTACATGGAAAGGTAAATCCCTACTAGTTACTATCTTGAAGCTTGCTTGGACATCTTTTACCTATACTATATGGGAAGAGAGGAACAAAAGGTTATTTACAGGTTGCTCAAGATCTTTTGAAGCTATGTTCAACTACATTAAAGATACCATTTCATTCAAATTACGGGGTAGAAACATCAATAGGATTGATAGTATCAATATCACACTTTGTAATAAATGGGGTATTGCTTATTGAAGTTGTTTTGCTGTAACTTTGATTGTAGTTTTCTGGATAATCTTGTAAGTACTCTGTTCTTTTGAGCATATTTCTGCTCTTGGATAATAAAAATAAATTTATCCAAAAAAAAGCAGTGAAGAGAAGGCAGTTGTGCTTTGCGTGTTTCTATGTATAATATGAATGAATTCAGTGTTTCTTTCCGGTTAAATTGTTGTTATTTGCTACTGAAAAAGGACAACAGAAATAAGAAAACCATACATAATTCGCTTTGATTCGTAGATCGAATACGGAATCTTAGTGCCTTAGTTTTACTATTTAGGGAGGATTGTGGAATTCTCATGAGATGAGAATCCCGCATTCCCATGTTTGGTTGGTCAGGAATCTCATTCTCGATAATGTTTTATTATCAATAGTAGATTTTTTTGGGTATATTACCGGGAATATCATTACCTCCTTTCCCTTAGGTATTATAACATTACCGGCGTTTTGGACTAAAATGCCCTTAAATTTTTATTTTTTTTTTCAAAAAATATCATTATTCTGTCATTGAATAATAAAAATTCTACGAAGGTTAAATTACAAATTTATCCTTAAATTATTTTAGATTTACAAAAAAAATCTATAATTAAAATTTTATATGAAGTTCAGAGGTTAAAAAAAATTTATCCTTTCATTAAACCTTTTTTATATTTTTAATTTTGTAAAATAAATTATATAAATATTATGAATTTAATTTTTTAAAGAAAATATATAAATATTTTACAATTTGTAATATTATACAAATATATAATAAGGACAATTTGGTAAAATATACATTCTAATAATATTTTATTCTTTTAACCAAACACGATAATCTTACATTCCTGCTAAACCAACCAAACACAAAATACAACATTCCCAGTAATCTTATTCCCTAATAATCTTTTATTCTCACTGATAATCTTACATTCCGTGAACCAAACGGACCCTTACAGTTTGTCGGGTAGACTTTTTTAGAATGAATTTTGAAAATTAAAATTAAAATTTGTGATGATAACTTTATTTATTCGTAACTTTATTTTATTTGTCGATAAACATTTTAATAATTTGTCTATATGTTAAATAATGAAAATATAATAAAAAATATAATATTTAAAAATTTTCGTAGTTAGTGAAGGATTGAAAAGAGATGTTATTTACTTGGGTTTCGTGAGTTCCTTTTACATAATGTAGATCCACTTTCCTTTATTTTTACTTACCAAAATGCTTATAAAGGAAATAAAAAAATCCTTTGACTCCACCCTCGATGACTGATAAGATCAGCCCTTATTTCGTCTTCATTACGCTCCGTTCACCCCTTCCACTCAACGTTTATCTCTATCTTTGTTTCCTTTATTTTTATTTCTTTTACTAACTTTTATAAAGGGATAATGGTACTGTTGGCCCTGTACTTTAATAAATCTTCTAATGTGGTATTTTACTTTCAAAATGTCTAATATGCATCCTAAAATGCCCGGTATAATCAGTGATCACTAACATATCATTTTATCGTTAAATATTAGACGTGATAGTAATATAGTCTAGTATAATAATAATTTTAGTTCTTCAAACTTATGTAATTTATTAATTTAATACTAATATAAAAGAATTCCAAAAAAAACTTTTCATATTTAAAAAACCTAACCTTGCAAATAAAATTACCCGAGCTTAGGACTTTTAGGGAGAACATTTACTTTTATCACTAAAATCGCTCAATAGGCTCAACTAAATCCATAATTAAATTACCTAAAATGTAGTTTATCATTTGTTATTATGATTATTAGTAGTAGCAATATTAACTTCATGAAATTGTTGATTTGGTTAATTCAACAAATTAATAGAAAAAGATTAGGCCTTAGCAAATCTACATAAAACCAAGCAAATAGATACTATCAAAAAGCTCATAACAATAACAATCACACTCACCCTCTCAATTTACAAGGCTTTGCCACTTTATTCTTCCATGATATGTTAAATTCACTTTCATTTTCAGACTGGAGGCGAGGAATCACATTCGTATTCGCGTTACGGCGGTCTCGGGGACGCTCACATCACCGCCATTACCCCTTTCCGAATGAACCGTTTATCCCTGCATGCACATTAGGGTATGTGTTCAATGACCTTGCAAATAATTGTTGAAAGTATTGCCTAAACTATCAACTATATGCTTATACAGCTCCAAACGTGTGTTTAAAACGTTTCCAGATTCTGTTGTATTTCATCAGAACTTACACTTTCATGGGGAACTATTGCATATCGCTCCGTCGGAGAAACCCAGGATTTACCTGCCGATACAACGAAGAACATTAAATCATCAACAGGATAGGACAGAAAGCAGAGCAGGTAGGATGTCTAATGCAACTCTACAGCACCTGACAGCTGCTCATGCTTTGAAGATTCTATCTGCTGCACACTCGAACCATCAAAGCTCAAAGCCTCTATAATCTTTGGAAGGTTCCTGAAAACAAAAATCGAAAATTCAAATTTCGTTCTCCTTAGAACTCATCATCCTAATCAAGGATTAAAAACTTACCGATCCATTAGCTATCCTAATGTTCAGAAGCAGCAAGAGAAGTGTGCAAAATGAAACCAAAACCTAATATCAAGTATTATTTTGAAATAAAAAAAAGTTGGATGATCAGAACGGAATAAAAAGGACAATTAAGGTACTAAACCTGTAGTTTACCCTAAAAAATGAATTTCAACATACAAACATTTCACACTTTTTATTTTATTTTATTTTCTTATCTTATTTTTCATTTCCTTTATTTTCTTATTAAATTAGAGGATAAAATTGGATACAGCGTATAAACATTACACATCTCTGAATTCAAGACCGTCCTACCATTTTAAAGCCATCTCCACCTTCCTCTCAACATTGCTCAAATTGATATAAGTTTTCCAACAATCTGACCTGCCAGAGACGATGTTTCTTGCGATGGAAAACAACGTTAAGAGTTTGATATTGAAGTTATTATCGGTGCTGATTCTGTTGACATGCACGGCGTCGACGGTGAACGGCGATGCCGTTAAGCCGAGGTGGTCGTTTATCAAATGCCAGATCGATTGCATGCCGATGTGCATGAGCATCAATAACGTCAAGATTTCTTCTTGCAGGATTGCTTGCAGAAGCGGATGTCTGCAGTTGAAAGGTAGAGGCGTGGTGCAAGCAACTGGCTGGAATGTACCTAGATTTGTTCCGATTTCCAGACCTTAATTATGCCGATTCCGACGAAAGGGTTGCCGGCCGACGTTAGTTATGGTGCTGCGATATTGTCCGTTTTAGAGATCGTCCTCGTTGTAGTTTTTTTAAAGAAAAAAATAGCGATATGATATGATCTTTGATTAATTTATATGAGATCGTCTAAGTTTGTTTATAATTTCATGATGGCTTTTATAGTATAATCGTTGTAATGCACCAGAAAAGATATCTATTTGAACTTTCGATTCAAAGGTTAATGTATGCATTTAGTTTTCAATTCTTAAGGAGCTTAATTAAAAAAATAAATATACATTTCTTGTTTAATTTAAATGGAAATAGGTGTTTATTATTTATTTTGTTATTATTTAAGGTGTTTAACCATTGTTGATATCCAATTAGTACTCGACATTTAGTATCTTTTACTTTTTAATAATAAAATCATTAATTCTTAAACCTTAAAATACTTCCTAAATTTCAAATCTCCAAATCTTATATACCACATTTGAATCATCACCGTCAATTATCATTACGTCGTTAGACTTTTACGGATTAATTGTCTCATTGTTATCACATGTCGTCATTCAAACAAGATAATTACAGTACTTAGTCACTAACCCATTATAAAAATATCATTTTTTCACCCCCATCATCCTCTATTCCTCGGTGATACTGCACCACTGTTTGAAGTTTTACCCATTGATCTCCGATCGTTTAAGGAAATTTAGAGTTCTTTTTTGAGAAATTATAAAATTTATAGTTTTTTTAAATTTGAAATTTGAAATTTTTTATTTTTAAAAAATTAATATTAGTAAAGATTTAATACATGGCAAATAGTTATTGGTTGATGATTTTTTTTAATGATTGTTGATGAAAAGCTCTTAAAATAGTAAGAGAATGAAAGATTAGACACCTTAAATGGTAATGAAATAAACGATAAATACAAACGAAATATAATTTGAACACTTATTTTTCAGTTAAACTTTAAAATTTTAATCATCTCGACAAAATAAAATTTCTACGAATGAAAATTTAGGTATTCTGACCTAATCTGATCTAATAGGGTTGGATTTTTTTAACAAAATTCAAGTTAGGGTCAGGTCAGGTCGATTTTTTAAGGGAGCAAGGCCGGGTTGGGTTGGGTGAAGGGTGACAAAAACTCCAACTCGAAGATAATAATGTAATTTTTTAAAATAATAATAATATTTTTTAAAATTAAGTCCTTATTTTATACCAAGTTGAGTGATAATTATACTATAAAAATTTGGATCATGTCCGAGTCGGGTAGAAGATATATAATTTTCAGGTCAGGTCAAATGGAGGATATATAATTTTCGAGCCATGTCGAGTTTGGATAGAGGATACTTTTTTTTCGTATCAAGTCGGATTAACCAAAAAATCTACCCGACCCAACCTATTTACATCTCTAAAATTTTTTCTTTAAAATTATTTTCAAATATTTTTAAAATAGTCTACGATGACTATAAAATAATATTTGCTTATTAAATTTTTTAACTATTAAAACCACTCCATCGATTTACTTTACTAAATATTATATTTTCACATTATAAATAAATTATATATATATATAAAGCTTTTTTTCTGGAATTTGAATTGGATTTCAATGTGAAACACATCGCTAAAGAATTTTTTTTCTTAAAGAATAATATAATAAAAAGAATTTGCTGTATAAATATAAATTCATAATAAAACCTTACACTATTCCTCGAATATAAATCGTTATGCACCGAAATCCCTCCGCCTTAATATTTGCTTGTGAAAGTTGGAATGTTTGGCGACATCGAAGGTGGGACTCGCCGCAGGCCGATACTCCGGCACCAGTCTCCCCGACTTGTACCGCACTCCGCAAGCGTTGCACAGCGTTTTAGGCCCTAAGGGTCCCATCCTCCACTGCGGAGTGCTCTCCACCAGACAATGACTGCATTTTCGCCTAGCATCAGAATCCCTCTCGGCAATATTATCGAACACTTGCGACTCATTACCACTAATCTGCTTCTGCTTCGCAATCCAATATCCTCGCTTCCCCTCGCGCTTACTCCTCTGTTTCCTGTTCGCAAAAGCAATTGTTTCATCAAGTTTAGCCGTCATCTCCGCCGGAATCTCCAGAACGAAGCATTCTTCATCCAGCGTTTGGAGAAATCCGTCGAGAGAGATCGTTTGGTCACTGAAATTAGGGAACCAGTCAATGTCTTCCAGCGAATCTTGTGGAACACAAAGCGGAGTCTCCCAATCAGACCTTTCTTCCCCGATGATTGGCGATGGTAACGACCGGTTTTTGATATTATCGTAAGCGCTGATTTCTTCAACACCCATTGAATTTGCAGAAGACAAAACAGAATGGACTATTTGCAGTAGAAATAAAGCGAAGAATTCAAGTCTCAGATTTGTATTTAAAGAGCAGTAAAAGAGAATCCATACAAGGTAATTAATGTTTAGCAAAAATTGAAAAATTGCTTAGTTGTTAAGATTATAGTTTTGGTTATATACGCTTCTCAATTAGGATGAATAAAAAGAAATTTCCGTAGAGGTGATTAGGAGTTAATCTTTGTTTAATTTTTAAGATTTTGTTGCCCCCATATATTTAATCATAACAATATTTATACAGTAGCATATTACGCGGCCAATCTATATTTTGAAACATGTCATCAATCCAATTTTTAATACGCCTTTGGTGCATTCAATAAATTTTTATTTCATATATAATAAATTATATTTAAGGTCAATTATACCATTAATAACTGGTCTCTCATCTTAATAATTAAATTATACATTAGTTTAATTGTTTATTAAACTTTTTAAATTAATTTTTAGTTATTAGGTCATTAAATCATTAATATTAAGATTACATGATTGTTTTACTAAAAAAATGATATAACGGTTATATTTCTAAATTTTTTAAAAAATAATCAGTTTATTTTAACATTATTATCGATCAATGGTATTTATCACTCATTACGATAAGATTAAAACCAACACTCACATTTTCCTTCTCTTACTTCTTCTCGTATTGATTTTTCATAAAGATTACTTTAAATTAATTAAAATACATCTAAAAATCTGACATTTTATTATTCCAATACTCTTCATCGATTGCACAATGAGATTATGATAAGACCAGATTTGATGTATATTGTTTATCTTTTAAAAAAAGTATTTTTCATCATTCAAAATTTTAAACTTACACTTTAAGCCCCAAAATAATATCTTTTTCTTTATTTAATTTCGTGAATTTTAAAGAATTTTTTTAAAAATAGAACTGATAAAGTGATAAAAGATTATGAGATGAGTTCGTTAACATTTAAGGTGATCGTAAAATACACTAGAGAATGATGATTTTCGATGGCGACTGAAATTATTTGAAAATCTCCTAATGTTAATGAAAAATTAAATAAAAAATATTTTTAACTTCTATATATAAAATCATAAAGTTTAATGCAAATTAAAAAATATATATATAAAATAGAGAAATATTAAAGTTTGACAACTAATGGTGTAATTTGATATTTATTTTAACTTTTTAAATTAATTTATATATATATCTTACCGAATCAATTACCATACATTCAAACTTATCATAACAACAATAATTAAAAACATAATATTAAGTGCATTGATTATTTTTGTTTCGAAAATTGTAATTATTGAGGAGGTGTTAATGGTAAGGCTTGAATCCTAACTAATCAAACTTCAATCATTTGTTTTGTTGTTGTTTTTTTATCATACCAAACTTATTAATAATAAAAATTAATGTCTTAAAAAAAAGCATAATTTATCATATACGTTTGTATAGATTTTTTTTTTTGGGAATTCCAACAACCGGTTTAATGGTCTAAACAACAGTAATCTTTTCGTGTCGAAGAGAACCACAAAGTATTTGAGGATAAGCTGTAATTTATATAATAAAAAATTAAGATATAATACATAAATAGTATTCTGGCTATTGAAAGTTATAAAATAATTCTTTAATTATAAGGTATAACAATAGTTATGTTGAATCTTTTAACTATTAAAAGTTACAAAATAATCACTTAACTATTAATATGTTCTAAACTAGCTCTTTTCCAATTAAAATTAGACAACCATATGAACCCGAAGTTAACATAGTAAGATATGATAAAAAAATCATTTATATTTTAAGGATCAAATCTATATTTACATTATATTATCGAATTAGTACTTGAAATATTATATTGTCGAAACAATGCTCAAAAGCAACCACGATATTAGTAAACATCATTAAAATATAGTTTTATCATATTTCGGTCAACAAGTTAATGTCCAATTTAGACCGATCGTCATTTTTTTAACAAAAGGATGAATTTGAAACATATAAATAGTCGAATGATATTTTATACCTTTTAATAGATGAGGGACTAAACAAAGTTGTGCTCTATAGTTGAAAGATCATTTTGTAATTTTTAATAATAAAGAGACTTAATAAAATAACATCTTATAATCAGTGGACCATTTGTGTATTTTACCCTAAAAACATATAATTTTTTTATATAAATCATAGGGCTAATCATGCAAAGCCCTGTGATCTCTTAACAAATATTTAATGGCGTCGCATTTTCAATTTTTTTCTGGATAAGTTTCAAACTTATTTATCCAAAAAGTAGAAGACTGCTACAAATTTACAAAGAATACAAAAAATATGGGGCCATCAACAAAAATTTAAGCAATGACCCCATGATGTACAAAGTCTAGCATTTACATTTCCCAAGCTTGTAACACCCCAAATTCTAGGCTAATAATTTCGAGTTTACCTGACAGGTAAGTGGACCTCGTGAAATTCATAAGTAAAGTTGTTGGGCTTAATATGATTTAGATTTGGGCCCTATTAGCCTTAAAAAGGGGATTTTAAATTGTAAAAGAAAAGAAATGACTAATTGTGGAATTTCCCCATTTTGCAAAGATGAGGGTTTTATATCTCACCATATTTCTCTTCTTTTCATTTCATTCTTCCTTCATTTTCTCTAAGTAGTCATAGTTCCAAGGTAAGGTCTTGAACTTTTTTCTTGTTTCATTTTCGTTCTTAATCCCCCTTGCAACATAGTTTTAAAGAATCAAAGCCTTAGTTTATTTATAGCTAAAGAAAAGTGGGTTTTTTCATCCAAATCACCAAGGAGAAGAGTGTGGATAAGCAATAAGCTCAATTTCGGGATTCAAACATCAAGATAGTGTGTTTCTAATCCTTTGAAGTATTAATTTTTCATAAATTCAGAGATTTTTCTAAGATTTGGTGATTTGAGCATTTTATGGTTTATCTTTGATTTCTTAAGCAAATCACGTTTTAGGTGTTAATAACACATTTTTATGAAAACTTAAGACCCTAAACAACTTACTAAAGCTTTAGAATAAGTTTAAAAACCAAACCAAGTCATTTGGGATGATTTTTGAGTGATTACCAAGCCTAAATAAACTATTTTAGGGTTCAAGTATCGATATTGTGATGAACAATATCGATATTGGTTGAATTGAGGCTAAAATTAGGGATTTCATGAGGAAATATTGGTACTGCCAAGTGGATTATCGATACTGCCCCTATAGTATCAATACTCAGGGTGGCAATATCAATATCGAGGCCCCATTTTCGCAACAAAATGCATTTTTGGTATCGATTCTCATAGGGGTATCAATACTTGTCCTTAGGGTATCGATACTACAAGTAGAGTATTGATACTACCCACTTTAGATAATCAGATTTGACCCGTTTATGGCCCATAAGAGTTAAGTACGATCCATAACAGTAAGACTTAGCCCGTAAAGGATATAAATGACCAAGCATACCTACAAACGATCAAATTACATCAAGTGTAACTATATTAAGTGTAATACGCCAAAGTATCTTCAATCGAGGATGTATACAGATAGTTCATACTAGGTCTGTAAATGAACTGAACGTTCATCGAACCGTTCATGAACCGTGCGGCGAGAAGTTCGTTTATGTGCGTTTATTTATTAAATGAATGAACATGAACAAGACTTTGTGTTCGTTTAATTAAATGAACAAACATGAAATAGGTCTCGTTCGTTCATTTACGTTCGTGAACGTTCGGTTATGTTCATTCATTTATGTTTAACCCAATCTTCTTAAATCAATTTTGGTGACCAATTTGTAAGTATCTTAAAAATATTAATTAATCCAATATTTTGTTGACTATCTCCATAATTAACCCAATTTTATTTGGAGATTAAATCCAATATGTTAACCCATGAGGCACCTCGCACCTATATTCATTTTCCTTTTTTTTCTTCCCAAACCCTAATACTCACTGGAAACTATAGATGATCACTGAAAGCTTCAAAAACAAGTTATATTATAGTGTAATCTAAAGTTTAAAGGTCTATTTTCATCTCTTCCTCTGTTTTATTTGGCTTAATAGTTTATATGTAAAGTTATTGCGGGTATCTTCACATCTAAAACTCAAGAAAACATCATACTTCTTTCGAGAAATAGATGGGAAGATAAAGGTAACAATCGAAAGTATATGAGCATCAGTAAAGAGAAAAATATAATATAATTTGCCAGAAAACAAAACAAAGGTTTCTATGCAATTTCTGAAAAAGAGTGTAATAGTGGAAGTAATGGGTTTTCCAAGAAGAACCCATTAATAAGTAGAAAATACACTTTGACAATGAACTTTTGTTTTCATAGTTTTTGTGTGACCTTTAGTTGTGGAGTAGACTTTAGGTATGTTAAAATTTAGAATGGTGGTTTAGCAATAATATCAGTTACAATATGTAGCATCGAATTGATTTCAGATCTATGTTATTGCCTTGTAGTCCAATTTGTACCGTTCGAAATCTTCATGCTGTTAAATTTTCTACTCTGCCAACGGAAAGGACCATTATTAACAAACCTCACTAAAGTCTGACATTGATGTCACAAAACTTTTAGCCGGCGAATTTATTAAAATAACGTAGATTTGGTTGATTTGCATTGTCGACTATTTTCATGAAAGAACAATAGAAGGTAGGGTCTTCAACGTTTATGTTCGTTTATGTTCGTGTTCATTTATGTTCGTGTTCGTTTATGTTCATGTTCATTTATGTTCGTTTATTTATTAAATGAACGAACATGAACAAGTTATATTCCTTAATAAACGAACATGAACAAAAAAAATATGTTCGTGTTCGTTTATGTTCGTGTTCGTTTATGTTCGTTTTTTTATTAAATGAACGAACATGAACATACCTCTGTTTGTGTTCGTTCGGTTCGTTTACAGGCCTAGTTCAGACCGAGAATCATTACAGGAGACATCCGATAAGCGGTACGATGATTATGTCAAATTCAGTGGTAGCGAAAAGCACAAGCTTCGAGAATGTCAGTGAACCCAGAAAGA